TAAAACCAAAGCTATTCCTTTTGTTTTGAATTAAAACTAGATTCTGAGTGCTTAATTGAGTATCAACTCGGTCTACAATTCAGGGATTTAATCACATGTCTATTTTAATTTGGATGTTGATATTCAAGATAGGCTACTCACGTGCATATCTCACAACTTTCCCCTAAACTCTATAGGAAAAATGACGAGTAAATTTCATTGTTTGCAGAAAAAGCTGGATTTTACGCTTAAAGTAATTGGTGGTGACATGACAGCAATTCCTGGCCTTTCTGATGCAATTGAGGTTTGGGCGAACTCTTACCACTAAATATGTTTCTCTGTTTTGTTATCCTTCCACAACAACCAATGCAGTTTGATGTGGATGTAATTGTTCTTTGATAAAGTTGATGAGATGTAACGAAGGCCTACAGATGCCATGAATATTTGGCTGGCGTAGCCTAGCCTTATTTTGTTTCCCCTTATTCTTTCTCAAAAGAGAAACGGAAGGAACAGAGAATTGAAAATTTTGAAGTAGTGGCTTAGTGTTATAATTACAAGGATAGGGTGTTTTTGTAGTGGTTAACTTCATCCTTGTTTAGGAAATTCGGGAGCTTGATTCACGACCTGTAAACAAGATAAAACTATTTCTCATGTTTCCTTGATAAACATTCTATGTTGTCTTGAACTTTCCTAAAACTTCTAATTTCAATATGGATAACAGTATATAATTGAAAATTGAAATGGCACATACATTTATGAGAATCAAGGAGTGTTATGTGAAAATTTTCAAACAAAAATTCTATTGTTTCTTGGTGCATTCTCTAAGACTGTTCTCATTTGAGAAAAGAGTGGAACAACAGATTTGCTGCTTTGAGTTGTTTGCATGAACTTGAGTCCTTTTATGCAGTCATAAAATGGAATGCTTAACAAATGTTAGTGATGATTTACTACACACTAGGTGTACTAAAATGAATTTATTTCTCCAGGGAACCATCCGGGACGCTGTTGAAGACTCTATTACGTGGCCAGTTCGAAAAGTTATTCCCATTTTACCTGGGGATTATAGGTACTGATATTGACAATGAATTCTTTGAACAATCTTGGTTTCACTGACCCACTTTATCTTTGGGCTGCCCCGATCTTGGTTCAAGCAAACACATTTAGTTCTCGTTGAACCTCGGAAGGACCTTTGAATAGTCCCTCCATTCCAACTAATTTGTCTTTACTTACCATTTTAGTCCTTTTAAAAAAGAATGCTTCTTTCCTTTTTTGATAACTCTTTAATTCTAACTTTCCACTTGGCATCTTTAAGACCACAAGATCAAAGAACATTTTGAGACATTCTATATATCTTTAATTTAAGACCACATGATTCGAAAGTTCTCTTTACTTTCTTAAACTCCGTGCCAAGTCAAAACCAGACAAACAAATTGAAACGAAGGGAGTACAAGATTTCCAAAAGCAGAATTGGGACTAAGATTTGGAGAGTAGTCCCCTCAACTTGTGTCGGACTTCAATCCATTTTGCATTGAAGTAGGAATGTCAAAATGTTGTCTCATGCAACTTCGTAAATATCTCATGTTTTGATCGGAGCTGTAAAAGAATTTTTTCTGTGGATCCTTCTGCATATGTATTTTAACAGAAAAAGACAAGTTTAACATTTAGATTTTGATTGGCAACTGCTTAATCCTTATTGACATTCTATTTTCTTGTTGACAGTGATCTTGAACTGAAGCCTACCGGAGTATTGGAGGTGAAACTTGTTCAAGCAAAGGAGTTAACAAATAAAGACCTCATTGGAAAATCTGATCCTTTCGCTGTATTATATGTACGCCCTCTACGAGACAGAATGAAGAAGAGCAAAATAATTGTAAGTTATTCATCTATTTCCCTGGAAAAGTTTCTTTAATTCATTTGATCAAGTTAAGATTAAAGTAAGAATCTTTATTTCAGAACAACGATTTGAACCCAATTTGGAATGAGCATTTTGAGTTCGTAGTCGAAGATCCATTGACACAACACTTAGTGGTAAAAATCTATGACGATGAAGGGCTTCAGTCAGCTGAACTAATTGGATGTGCCCATATCTGTTTGAATGAGCTTGAGCCTGGTAAAGTGAAGGATATCTGGTTGAAGTTGGTGAAAGATTTGGAAATTCAGAGAGATCAGAAAAATAGGGGCCAGGTGACGACTCCGACTCCTTTTTACTTTCCATGGCCATGTTCAGATGCATGCTGTAGTAGCTAGAAATATACCACATATAGTACTCGTAAATTTGATGGAAAATATATGCACAAAATAAAAAATGTTGGAAAGCTAGTGATTTTTTAGCAATAATTTTATTAAACAGCATTTTACTGTTCAAAATGAGTGGCACCCAGAGGATCCGAACCCCTTTTCAATTTTACTTTTCATGTATATACAATAGATGTTGAATCCCCTCGGCTTCCTGGTGTATTTATTTCTTTTTATTTTGCATCCCCTTATTGAAAATTCTAATAATGGCTCGGGCACTGGTGGCACTGATTGTCCTGTGAATAGTACGAGTTTGTTCCCAGACCCAACTTGTGGGATTATTGTAAATTGTTAGCAGAACTCATAGAATAGTCTCTGTGCTTGATGTGTTAACTGTTCTCATTATCTTTGGTTAGGTGCACTTGGAGCTATTGTACTGCCCGAATGGCATGAACAATGGGCTAAGTAACCCTTTTTCTCAGAATGAGTCGATGACTTCATTAGAGAGAGTTCTTAAAAACTCGGCAGAAGGAAAAGAAGCTAGTCCAAACGGAAGTGAAATCAACAATAGAAGAGAGGTAATAGTACGAGGGGTACTTTCTGTTACCGTGGTATCAGCTGATGATCTGCCCCCAGCTGATATAGGGGGGAAGGCTGACCCCTACGTTGTTCTGATCATGAAGAAGGCTCAAATCAAGAACAAAACCAGGGTATCCTTTCTTCGTATTATTTAATTTTCGGTAAATTTATTTATAATGTTTTTCCTTTTTTGGTAAGTAGGAGAAGAAACAGTATGCCATGATCCTCATTTTTGCATATGATCTCTATGTAGCTTTGTCTCGGACTCTGTATTATACACTCGATAAGTACAAATAATTAATTTCAACCCTAGTAAATCAAATGAATTGTTGGAGAATCCCAAAGTCGAACAACTTATCGGAAAAACAAGAAACCTGAACTTGAGCCCATAAGGTTAAAATCCTGAATCCACCTCCACTAATATTGAGTCTATGGGAACCACCAAGTTCGTATATTCTTGTTTACAGTAATTTGCCTCAAGTATCAACATTCATAACTAGATATCTTGCTGAATGGTACTAACAATAACTACACCTCAATCCAAAGCAAGTTAGGGTTGGCTATATGAATTTTCAGTGTTCATGTCACAACATCTTAGCTCATCTAATTTTATATGATGCTGATCATCACATCCCAAAAAAAAATTCTAACGTTTATTATCTGTTTCCCTTAGGTTGTAAATGAAAGTCTAAACCCGGTATGGAATCAAACTTTTGACTTTGTTGTTGAGGACGGATTACATGACATGCTAATGCTGGAAGTCTGGGACCATGACACGTTTGGAAAGGTAAGAGTATCTGCCCCTTGAATAAGTTCCATATGATTATCCGATGACAATTTTTGGTCCTCACGCAATATATCATCAAGCACTTGTTTAACATCATTAGTATCTTTACATAACCTCATAGCCCAACACGCCCATTACTTGTTTAACATCATTAGTAAACAATGAGCTAAACAATAATGCCAATATATCATTAAGCATTGGAAAAGCGCTCATGTAATGGGCGTGTTGGCCTATGGTCCATTGTTTAGCTCATCTTGATCCTGCCCATCTCAGTCAAGTTTTCTTTGAGCGGGCAACTCATTTTGACCCGGCCAAATTTAGCCTAACTCGCGCATTTAACACCCCTACGTGCAAGTATATATAAATTTCGGAGAGTACCTTTGTCATATCATATTTCTTGACTATTGTATTGATTCATTTTTCGAATTCTTCCAACTTTCTTCACAGGATTTCATGGGAAGATGCATACTGACTTTAACAAGGGTTCTAATGGAAGGTGAATACAAAGACACGTACGAATTAGCCGAGGCTAAATCAGGGAAACTGAACTTGCATCTCAAATGGAATCCACAGCCAATATACAGAGACTACCAATGATGAACATCAAACTTCAGTTTTACATTCTTGTTAGTTTTGTACAGGGAGTAAAATTTCTTTGATTCCCTAATAGACTGGGAACGACAGCACGTATAATCGAATATTTTCTGTACATGATTTAATAATAACAGAAGAGAGATACTGTAAAGCTGTGAAACTTTTGAAGAGAAGCTGAAGTTGAAGCTGGACAAGAATAAAAATTGAGTAATTTTTCTAGTTGAAGTTATTATGTACTACTAGCAACTCTCTTTTTAGCCTTGGCTATATGACAATTTTTCATTCGTTGAAGTGTGTGACTATCTGAGCACATTTTTATTTACCCAATGATGTCTTCGACACAACCTCTCGTGTGTGAGCTTGATTCGTTTTTAATGGGCCAAGGATGTGAATTTTCTTTGTTTTGATAATGGTTGGCATAGAGACTCGAACTAGGGACCTCTACCTACTATGATACCAAGTGTGATGGATCATCTCATCTAAAAGTAGATTTTTTTCTTTTTTGGTTTCCCACTCGATACCTGCTTTGGGTCTGACTAATTCGGATTCATGCTGGGAAGTTTCACTTTAGGGGAGTAAAACGCTCCTTATCAAAGAAGACTCCATATCCATAGGTCAAATCCGAGACCTTTTTTTAAGGGTGAATGAGTATTTACTGCTTCACCACAACCTTTGATGGCGGGTAAGATTTTTCTCAAAAGAAAAACTAAAAACTAGCCTATTAAATATTCTGAAGGAACATTCATCTTCTAAAACTAGAATAAAATAAATTAAGTAAATGCATTGTGAATATTCAAATAAAATAATTCTTCAGAAACTGAAATGATGCAGCGAACAGCACAAATTCTTATTTGAATGATAAATATTTGGTGGAAATTTAGCCAAATAGTCCAATAACATACCCCGTATAATCCCACAACTAAGGTCTGGGAAAGGTAGTGTGTACGCACACCTTTTTTGATAAACCCTCGGCTCAAGTAATTAGCCAAATAGTCCAAGAAAGCAAATAGATATTCAAACTTATTAGTTGCCATTGGGATATTAATCTATATGGCCATAAAACTGCAACTAAGTTGAGAGCAAGTTGCAGAAATATGTTCTCACAGTTGTGCAGTTGAAGCCCTGTTTAAAATGAGTGAACGGAGACGATATTGATTCGACTTTCTCTGCTGATGATTCTGTCCCCTGCATGACCATAAATCGCGTGAGTTTAACCTTTATATACTGACAATGTGAAAAAAATCGCCTAAATGATAACACTACTGATATTTGTCCATAGTAAGTGAGATTAGTCCTCGGAAAATAAGACAGATTATCTACTACAGTAAGTTAAAAGGAAAATTCAATTCAGATTCTCCAGATGAAATATATTCTGCAAAGGTAGGAAGATCATACTGACCAGTACAGATTGTGTAACACGAATGAGTCGATTTTAACTTTCTTTCCATCGTCATTTCTGTTCCAATGGTAGAATGCATGTGTTCTGTTCTTAATCTCTAGTGTAGAATGACCATAACTGGATTCGCGGAACGCAGAGTAATCTGGTTGAGGATCTCTAAATCTGCAGAAATAAACAAATGAATCTATAGTTCTAGAGCAATTTAAGAAGTTATAAGGCAGTTGAAGCACATAAGCAAGGTGCACGAAACATCACATATTTACGCAGGGTCCAAGGAAGGGCCACACCACAAGGGAGTGTGTGATGTAGAAAGCATACACTAATGCAAGGATCAGTTACTGAGTTCACGGCTCAAACTCATGACCTATAGGTCACACGGGGACAACTTGATCGTTGCTCCAAGTATCCCAATATGTTTATAGTACATACGTATTTATAAGTGTTCTTCTAAAATCTTACTAGTGCAGTACATGTATCCTAATAAATGGATCGAGTGAATTCATGTACTCGAGATGAACCTAGTTTATTAACCTAATGAGCACATTGTAATGTCATTCACGAGCGATTCTCTGCAATAACATGTAACTTACCTTGCAGCAAGACCTTCTTTATTTCCTCCATCACCAACAGTTATGTAAACTGGAGCTGTTTCATCAGGTACGGGATAGGGATCACCACTCGAGATGTTAAAGTGTATATTTGATATGCGATACTGGAAAAGAGAAAGAAAATTGTTAGCATTGTCAACTTCAGAAGAAGGAAACGAAGGCATATTATCAACTCTCTTATAGTTCATAAGATACATACTCCCTCAGTCCCTCCGTTTCATTTTGTTCGTTGTCTTACTTTCCTTTTTAGTATGTTTCAAAGCGAATGTCTCTTTCCTTTTTTGGCAATTCTTTAATTCTAACTTTCCATATGGCATGTTTAAGACGACAAAATTAAAGGGCATTTTGGTACATTCTATGTATTTTTAGTTTAAGATCACAAGATTCAAAAGTATTACTTATTTACATTCTTAAACTCCGTGCCAAGTCAAAACCAGACAAACAAATTGAAATAGAAGGAGTATTACATGTTTGTTCTCTTTTTTTTCTTTGTCCTAGGACGAGTAGGAAAACCAGTACTATGAAATGAAGTGACTTACTGATCGTTCGTAGGCGTGGACATGACCAGAAAAGATCACATCAACTTTGTGTTCGATAAACCATGCTTCGAAGACGGATCTCATACTTTCTCCCTCCATGAAATGAGCTACATTACTGTTGTAGATAGGAACATGCATAAGAACTATAAGCCAAGGAGTTTTCTCTCTGTCCACATTTTTGAATTCCTCTCTCAGCCACTTCCATTGTGGTGTATATTTTACTGCATTATAGAAAACATAGAGACTAAGTACCTGTGGGAACAAATGCTTACTCCGCAACAATTCTCGATATGTCTATAAACGTCGAAAAAAGGGCCTTAAGGTTGTTACTTCGCGTTTAAGAACATCAAGAACGATTACTTTATCCTAAACCTGAAGAGGTTAGAACTTCGCGAAAATCATAAAATCAGCATTGTTGAAGAAGTGTGTGACCCTCTCATCTAAAAGCTTAAGCTGTTAGAGAGAGAGCACTTATATTTACTTGATTATATTCTCAACACGCTCTCTCATGTGTAGGCCTAATTCTTTCTTCCCTTGTGGACCAAGTACGTGGAAATTCTTTCTAATAATGAGTGGTGTGGTCTGATACCATGTTGAAGTCTGTGACCATCTCATCTCAGAGGTTAAATTGTTAGAGAGAAAACGTTTTCATTTACTTAATTATATTCTCAACAAGTACCTCAGATCGACAAGGTCAAAATAGCTAACAACAGAAACAAACAAGAATCATGAAACAGGAACAGATAAATTACCGAAAGGAGAGTAGGTTGATAGCACAATTATGTGAGCAGACGCCCTCCTGATGGAATACCAAAGCGGACTAGTGCTGTTTGAAGCTTGATATGGTGTCGGATATCTGTACAGATACGACTTGAACATAGTTACTTCTCCCTGTGCATAATAAGAAACAGTCGATTTTTTAAAACACTGCTATAATTCTGCATATAGAATTTAGCAACACTATGTTAAGCATATGAACTTGAGCTGTGTTGCAGGACTTCACCATATATGGCATATATTCTATCTCATGATTCCCAGTATTCCAAATCCACGGTTGATATGCTGTACTTGGTTCAACAAAGCGGCCCCATGAATCCCAACGGACTCCAACATCATGATACTTATATCTGTCCGCATAAGATAGATCTCCCACAAACAAGACACTCTTAGCTCCACTATTCATGTAATGCTGAAGAGTCGAAAGAGAATTATATGTCTGTCCGAGATCACCTGGAAAGAACGACACACGAACACTAATAATGACACACTGAACTACCAATAGTGGAAAAATACACGATAAGAGTTCAGATGTGCACAAACGTCATTATGTCGTAAAGTATAATTCAGACAAATGGGAAATGAAATATATAAACTACTCACCTATGATACCAAATGTGTATGAAGCATCTGGATCAACCTTTGGAGGAGTTTCAAACCAAAAGTTTCTAGCAGAGTCACCATTTCCGATTTCATAGTAATACTTTGTGTCATACTATAACAGAGGTAATACATAACTGATCAAACTAGACAGTACTTTATGCAAATACAATAGCATAATGTATATGACACTTAAACGAAGAGATGACATTGCGATTCTTTCCTTGTCTAAAACTATAAAAACGAAGAGTTTTTATTACCTGAAGTCCGTTAAGAAAGCACTTGTGTATATATCCAGACTTGTAGGTGTAAAATGTGTAGTTTGTGAATGATCCTTTAGCTGTAAAATCATATTTTCCCTTAGATAATCCGTAACGTACTTCACTAGACCCCGGTTTATCAGGCGTAACCCATGAGACTATTACAGACTTTCCTTCATAGTCACCCTGTGTTATATGCACCTATAATAGAATGAAGTTATTAGCATTTTAGATGACACATAAACAGATAAGAAACTGCATTTTATCCACAGTAGACAGAACGTTGCACTCGAAGATTATGAGTACAGCTGTCGATATTACAATGTATTTCATCATCACCTACACAGTTGTAACAGCACATGAGAACTAGTAGTGGTTAAACTCGAAAGGGGGGATTGTTGTTAAATGCCTAGAGGACTCGGCTTGGCCAAACCTCATTAAATCCTTGTGTTATATTCTCTTCTCTATTTGCTTTGATTGTGTGATTGTGTGCTAGTTACCCCATGATCTTCCACAACACTTGCCTTAGGCAAATCCCATATCGAAAAGGAAAGGGAAAGTTAGTTACCTTAATGGTCATATAAAGGCAAGTTCAGGATTCAACCGTTGAGGCGTCTTTTGCACAAAACCTCAAGGCCCAAAATCCTAGAGGTGACTCATAAGGGTCGGGCCAAAACGGACAATACCTTAACAGTTGAACCTAAGCCATGACAACAATGATCATACACAACTTTGTACTATCAGTATGCAATTTGACACTGAGCTATATAAATCATGCTATACTCGAATTGAGCATATTATATCAAGTTCGCGAAGATGCTACACAAAAACTAAACACACTACCTCATAGAAGATCAAAACAGAACAAAAGGTAAAGTAACTTACTTGTTGTGGAGCATTGTAACCTTTAGGAACTGCAAACACTTCATTTTCAAGAGGGATATCAACAGCTGGAAACTCACTACGAACAAATGAACTCGTTACACCAGCATTTCCATTGTCTGTCAATGTCAAAAACACGAACAATGAAAAGAAAAGATGAAGCAACATTGCCTCCTCTCAAGTAACAATATTTCAACGAAACCAATTAACGATTCACTGCATCCAGAGCAAACCAATGTAGTTATTAAAAACGGAAAATTTGAAAGGCAAACCTTATGTTAAAGAAGAAAAAAAATCAAAGTATATGCTTAGGTGAACATATATATCTATGTTTGTTGACAAATGACAAAATATAATTGATCAAATTCGCGGACGTTCCTATGAGGAAACACTCATGATACTAGAACTCATGCCTTATCGAGCAGACTAAATTGGGAAGTAAGACAAACAAACTGAAACGTAGGAAGAGTTGTTTTTTCAACAAAGGGAGTTCACTTGTACCTTTTTGTGTCCGTTCTTATTTATACTGTCAGCGTATATAACTTAAGTTCATGAATTTGCATTTGAACAACATGAAAGTGATAAAGAAAAGTACCTTGAAAAATTGAAATTAATCACAAGCTAGCTAGGGAATTGAAGTGAAAATATTGGTAAGTTGTTTATTTTTTGGTATTGTTAGTATTATTATTATTATTGAAATAGAATTGTTTATTTGATGAGTAAACTTTGAGTATAAGTAGAAAATAAGAATGATGAGTAAAGATAGCAGCTTGATATGGCGCAAGATTGGATCATTCAAAATGTGTTGTCTCAGTCAATTATTGGATGGAATGTCACTTTCTTTGTATGTTCTTTTTTTATTTTCAATTCGATGTTCTATATTTATATTAAATTTTGATTCAATTTATATTTGTGTTGAGAAGATTTATATTGTGAGTTAAAAGGATTCCCTCATGACAAAAGGAATTTCATACATTTAATTGCACGATTTGTACTTTAAATAAACTGGTCTTTAATTTTTGTATTTTAAAAATAACTTACGTCTAATAGGGCATAAATTCTTTTTAAGGCACGAGACATATATATATAAGTTCTTTAAAAGTGTGGGGTGTAACTTGTTGAATTAAGTTGTGTTGTCTCAGTCAGTTATTGGATGGGATGGGATGTCTCTTTCTTCTTGTTTTTTTTCAAAAGATTTTTTTTTTTGGTTTCCGACTAGATATTTTGTATTTTTATTTTTTTTAAAAGATATTTTGTATTTATATTGTGGTTTGATTTAGTTTAAATTTATGACGGGAAGTCTTATATCTCACTCACATAGGGGATTTCATACATTTAATTACATAATTTGCCCTTGTTGATTTTAAATTTTTTTCCCTTTAAAATCAACTTAAATCTTAATTTTTGTGGTTTAAAAACTTACTAAAGATAAAAAGAAACACTCTTTTTTTAGACTGATGAAAAAGAACGCTTATATTGAGACGGGAAAGTATAATCTAATTATTATTTTTTAATAACAGTGATGTCCAGATCAAATTGCGATAAGTATAAATCAACCAGTTTTAAGATCTAGTTTTATTTGTTTTTTTGTACTGAAATTTAAATCTATTTTAAAATTCCAGTGGGATGGGAAGTTTGTTTAAAGTGATTTCTTTTGTGAATTATTCTGACAACAGATTGGTTTCTTTTAAAAGAAACTGTTTGTTTCTATTGTAGATGTGATAATAATGGCATAATTATTATATTTTGCCCATCATGAAGCAAACATAATTGTTTAAATTTGTGCCTTCATATGATAAATGGAAGTAATATTTACTTTTTCAAAAATGAAATTCTTTGTCATATTCTCTGAAAAAGAAAGAATTATATGAGGCATGAGCTTTGCCCATACTTAGTGTAGCTCACATGAAGGGTACAAGTAAAATAATTTTGCACTCCATGTTTACATGAAATTATACTAATATATTATAATTAAGTTAATATTAAGGTGACACATGTATTAATTATTAACTATAATTTAGTGATAAAGAATATTTATAGAAACGATAATAATAACATCTTCAGTATACTTATTACTTATGTTACTAACTCTTATCTTTATTTAATATTTGTCAACTTATTACTTATAGAATTATATTAACAATTCATATAATAATTGCATCACTGAAAGCATGTTTTTCAATGTTGAGTTGATAAAATCTTACCTAAAACTAATAACTTAAAAAACAATATTAAATACTACTAATAATTTTCATCTAAATGGTGTAAGAAAAATATTTTTGAATAAATACATATACGAAGTGTGTTTATATTTTAGGCCTCGAATTGAAATTTCGTTTTAGGCCTCAATTATGTTAAGCCGCCCTGCACAAGTAAAGCCTTAGGTACATAACATGCAAATCTCATTTCACAAGTGAAGCCTTAGGTACATAATATACAAATCTCATATTTAACTCATGAAAATAGAAAAGTTATTTCGGATAGTTGTTCAACAATAATTATAAAGATATTTGTCATATTTCTTATGGATTGATCTGAATATCGGGTATATAATTTTTTGCTGGTATATGTTATACAGGGGCGGCTCAACGTAATTGGGGGCCTAAAGCGAAATTTCAATTCGCGGCCTAAAATATAAATACACTTCATATATGTATTTATTCAAAAAAAAAAATTACACTATTAAGATGAAAATTATTAGTACTTAATATGATTTTTTGAGTTACTAGTTTTAGGTAAGATTTTATCAACACAACATTGAAAAACATCTTTTAAGTGAGACAATTATTATATGCATTGTTAACATAATGATATAAGTAATAAGTTGATAAATATTAAATAAAGATAAGAGTTAGAAGTTTAGAATCATAGAATTTGACTCAAAAAGTTGATGACTTGGTATATCTCATTTTAATATGCTTAGAGTAATGCTTGAAACTAAAATTTAAAAAGAAATAAAAAAGAATTTGTAATTCACTTTGTTCTACACTTTTCATTGTTAATTCTTATTTGTAACAAAGTACAAAAGATGTTAAAGTGGATAAAATAATTTATTTTAAAAAAAATTATACTTTTTATCATAAATAATTAATTTTTCTAAAAAAAATTTAACACATAATTTATTTTTGACAAAAATTTGGGGCCCCCGAAATTTGGGGGCCTAAGGCAAAGGCCTTATTTTTTAAAGCATAGAGCCGGCCCTGATGTTATATGGGCATAATAATTGTTGCTCACATGTAGTATGGGCATGCTAATAATTTGTTTGTCCATATATATGTGGTCTTGCTGAATAATTGATAATCTTTTTATTTGGCTAGTAAACATTTACTATTTTGAATTCAAACTATATGTGTTATATTGATAATGTCAATAAAAAGATTAAAACACAGTTATTATTAGTATATTAGGAAGAAATATTAAGGTATAATAACATAAACGTGCTAGTTAACTTGAATTCAACTGATATTTATGCCCTCCAATTTTGAGTGTGTACAAGTAGGCACGGTAACTTGTATAAAGTTAAATAAGTAGACACATGTGTCCTATATGACAATTTGCATCCTACCTGGTGTCTTACGTGTAATATGTCACGTAGGATTTGTTGTCTACTTGTTCAATTCTACACAAGTTTAACTATCTACTTGTCCACACTCAAAGCTAGAGAGCATAAGTGTCCGCTGAAGTCAAGCTAAATGGCACATTTATGTATTATGCCTATGTTAAAAGCACATTACTTTGGTGCATGCATGTACCATAATGTAAGATTTCCTCAAACACAAAAAATATCATTAGAAACAAATATAACAGAATATTTGAGGATAAAGATTATGCTGTATAAATCACATACAATTGAGCTTCACTTCATGTCAACTACAGAACAATAAGTTTCATCAATCCTCTGGGAAACCTAAATATCTATAAATAAGTTCAGCAACTGGTTTCGCGTCACCTGGTTGATATGGAACAAGAGACCCCGGATCCATATCCGATATAGTCTTGTATAATGTTTGTGGATGAGCACAATACAAATGTTTTCTCTCAGCCAGTTCTTCTGCAAGCTCGCTTTGATGGTTGTCCATTAGATCCTCATTGACTACCACTATTAACGGTTTGCCCAGTCGTAATGTCTCAAATATGCTCCCTGAACCTGCAGTACTCAAATGTGTGATTACATAGCCTTAGCCTTGCAACTTTTGAAGTCCTATAATGACAAGAAATATCGGTTGTTTTCCCTATTCACAACAAGTTTTACAAATTATTACTTTAGAACTCCATAACTCAAAAGGACAAAAATCTTGAAACCATAAGCTTCAATGTCTGGTTCAGCTTCTGCTCAGAAACGAAGTGCATGAACTTTTCACCCAATCATATGTCTTATGAGGCCACAAGCAATAGCAGCCGAAAACATTTGCAAGCAGAGGTTGACATTACATCACATCATGAGATAGACGTGTTGAAGAAAACAGACATTTCAACATGCTTGGAAATCCGACTCCCCCAATGATTCTGTGTCAGTTATTGTGACCATTGGAACAGTATTTGGGTTTTGGCATCATACAACTAGTATCTAGATCTATGGGTTAATTTCCCTAGTCAGGGCTAATATATGCACATTTTAATGAAATAATGATATCCGAAAGGCTAGTTGCGCTGATCCGAGTAGAAGGGAGAATAGAGGAAGAGAAGTCAAGGAGACCCTAAAAACAAACACAAAAGGAAGTGCCAACGTCATATAGTAAGTGGTGTTTTGTTGCTGTGGTTAGGAAGGGAGTAAATCATGTATTAAGATAAGCATAGCTAATACCATGTTCGATAGCATTTTAGTTGTTTTGTCTAAAATTAGATCACCAAGTATGGAGTTTGGTTATTATTTTACAACCCCACATAAATAAAACAGGTATACGCTATTAAAATGAAATAACTAAACCCTGTATAACTAATCCTTACATTTCCAATACATGCTTAACTCTAACCAACAACCAAACGACCCCTTAAATGTATAAAGCTAAGGTCATTGTCAACCATGAATTACCTGCATGGCTGATAACAAGTGATGCTGACTTCAAATAGTCAGCTATGCTTGATGAAAATGTGAAGTAGTCAAGAGCTGGGAAACCATTTTCAGCAGATGCCTGGAAAGATTACAGCAAAATAAAAAAGACCAGAAAGAAATGAATTATTACCTGGCAAAGAAGAATTGTTGAGTGAGCCGAGAAAATTTTGCAAAGGTACTTATGTGTAAGTGAGTGAGTGCATACAAGTGTTCCATTTCGGCTTAAAAGAGTTTCCATATCAAATTGCGACAAAGCATAAAATTAATAGGGTCAGTAAGTTTTAATGAGATGTGAGCACCCAAAAGAACCTAAATGTATTGCCACATCACACTTTCCAAATTTCTCATTTTTATTGTCCTTCAAAGACAAAGTTGAGACTTGGCAACCACATATTGGATCTCGGCAAGTTAAATAATTCAGCATGCTAAGGTCTAGTCATTACTCGGAATAAAGCTTGCATATCCAAGCATATGCGAACATAAATTCTTTAGAACTTTCAGTTTTCTTTGTTAAGCAGACTTACTAACATGTAGTAATAAAGCAACATGTGATGTGTGGGTTAGGCGACGAACATCACCTGTTGGAACCTTGCTGCAGACAGCCTGGTATTTAAGAGGAAAAGAGTAGAGGGATGGGTCAATCATCCACCGAGTTTCGAATGGTGATATATACGAGGAAGAGGGTAGAGGAATCGGTCCATCATCCGAGTGTTGAATGGTACTCACTGGCCCTTGGAGATGTTTCAGTAATATAACAAAAGAAAAGAACCCTATACTTTCTCTGCAGCAAGAAAACCAAAAACAAACAGCAATTTTTCCCAAATCCTGGAAAATTCGTAATTCTGCATCATTTCTCGAAGTTTCACGAACTCATAGTTCTTTCACTTAATTAAGCAACTAACTTTCTTTGCATTTTTATTTATTTTTGTTGTTGGTTTCCTCCCGATACCCACTTTGGGGATCGACTAATCCATATTCCTGGCGCTTAAGGCCCATTTAAAAGGGAACTAGGATATTTTTAATTCTCAAAGCTCGAACTCGATACCTCTGATTAAGGGAGGAGTGATCCTATCCATCCCACAATAGCCCTTTTTCTTCTACTTTTTCCTTAAGGAAGGACATCTTTTGGATCCACAATCGAAGTAGAAACTGAAAAACTTAACTTTTTACTACAAATGTGCTTACAGGAAAAAAACAAATATCAAGAGAAATGTCAAATTACCTTTGTGGGGATGTACGATCCTCGCCCCATTTGAATCAGAATATCGGTGTAACCCTTCTTGAACAATTCATTCTTAACTTCCGGAGTATCCACTGCTCTTACAAGAGCATCAAAAGAAGTTGTCCCCACGGTCACAAAAACTACTCTCTTCTCCTTTGTGATATCATCTATATCACCCATTTACAATTTCCAAATAACATTCAACAATTCGAATCTGCAATTAACATTATCGTACATATTACACGTCAAAATAACAGAGAAAAATATTGAAGGGGGGATTTCAAATGGACAAACGGAGAAAAACTAAGCAGAGTTTCCTTTTTAAGGGGGATTTTTCGATGCTTGATTGCCAGACAATGACTTATATTCTAGAAAACATTTCTTTTTTTTTCCCACCCAGTGTCAAATCCAAATCAGGGAGGATATTTAACTAGAATAGAGCATAAACCTAAAAAGATGAACCAAACCCATACAGAAACAAGAAAATAGCATCACGGTTTGGATTGAATCTCAATGAAAAAACACATCAACGAAAAGTCAATTCGATAAATTTAATGACCTTTACTTATAACTTAAAATTGTACCCACATTAAGCCTGACTAAAACATTTTTAAAAAGCCAAAAAAAAAAAAACCCTGATGATAAATATCTCACTGCTCAAACACAATTTAGTATATCATCACAATTTTAAGATATGAATTATGGAAGACAAACATCATTATAATCCAATATACTAAAATTCATTTTTTTTAACATTGTAGATAACTAGGGAGTTTCGACTTTCATATTATTTTGTTGTAGTTACTATCTACTTTTTTTTTTACTATGTGATATTTTTTGTACTTCAATTACTTCTGCTTTGGACTATCTTTTCGGTCTATTGGAAACAGTCTCTCTCTACCTCTACCCTCTCAAATCCCACTTGGTGTGATTAGACCGGATATGTTGTTGCTGTTGTTGCAGATTATTGGGGGGAAATGTAAGGAATTTGCAACAGAAATCACAATTTGAATCGCGCTAATTGATTCAAGAACAATTCGAAGCTGCAATTAACATATGGCATATATCACACATCGAAGTAAAAGAAAGTAATAACATTGAAGATTGAATTTTTAGCTCATATGCAGTTTGGGATATCTTCAAGAAATTCTTCGAGATAACACTGATTAGTAGAAATTACAATGAATTAAACTCACAGTTTGATTTGGTGGAGAAATTGAACGGTGAAGTGCTCTGGTGATCTCCGGCGGCCGGCACCGGGAAAGAAGGTTGATGAGAATTAACAGACTGAAAACAGTTTGATTTCGGGTCCATTTGATGTTTATTTAGGCCTGCTAGGAGGAGTTTTCAGTTGGGCCATAGGCTTTCTAGTTAAATGGGCTCTAAATTATATTTGAAGAATTGACCCAAATAGCCGCTCAATTTAACTCCTTAAATTAAAGAGGGAACAACACAAATCCCGCTAGTTTAGGTCATAATTACGTTCAGACATAATATTTAAACAAATTATCCTCTCCACCACTTTTTTTTGCCAGATACATGCAGGTAAAATTAGGTGTAATTTGTTTTAGATACATTATATTCAAGCGTGATTTGCATGTATTTGGAATACATTGGCTCTCCCGCTCACAACTCTCATGTATCACTTGCCTCTCTCTCTCTCTCTCTCTCTCTCTCTCTCTCTATATATATATATATATATATATATATATATATATCCAAAATCAATTTCATCTAGTGTATCCGATATTAATTTCATCTCATATATCCCATATCAATTTCATCAGTATATTTGGCATCAAATATTTAGTGTATACATGTATCTTGCATAAAAAAATGCACTGATACATTCCTCAGTGTATCCGTGCATAAAGAGAGATAGAGAGAGCGAGGGAGAGAGAAAGAAGAAGAGAGCGAGGGAGAGAGAAAGAAGGAAAGAGTGAGGAGAGAGCCAGAGAGAGAGAAAGGAGAGGAGAGATAAGTGATAGTGTATCCGTGCATAAAGAGGGATAGAGAGAGCGAGGGAGAGAGAAAGAAGAAGAGAGCGAGGGAGAGAGAAAGAAGGAAAGAGTGAGGGAGAGAGAGAGAAGGAGAGAGCCAGAGAGAGAGAAAGGAGAGGAGAGATAAGTGATTATGTAATTAGTTTAGAGTACATGTAATTATTTTAAAGTATAGGGAGATTTAGTAGATATGGTAGGGATGTTTGTCTGGTTAGGTAGTTTTTCCTTAAATTAAAATGGCCACGAAATGCATGATATTATTATGTATAATTCATACTTCCTCTATTTCAATTTACTTGTCTTACTTTCCTTTTTTAGTTTGTTTAAAAATAAATATCTCCTTACTCTCTTTTTTTATCTTGCCAACTCTTTAATTAATGTTAACATTCTACATGGCATTGTCTTCATGTAAAGGAAGAGTTCAATGGAATTCATTTCATTGACACTGGTTGTTCTTTCTACCTAAACTTACGGTTAACTACCAACTGCAAGAGAAGAGAAGAGAGAAAGCAAGCCGGGAACGAGTTGGAGTGTTTAGTTCTCAATTGAGACCAGTGTCTAGATGTGCACTCTCAAAGTTGGGGTGCTTACTTGCCAACATAGGTAAAGTTTGAGTGTTTGTCTATGTAATCAACAATAACATACTCAGTTTAATAACACAAGTAATCTCAAAAAGAAAGAAAAAAACTAAGCAATATATTCAATACAAATCAAATTTGCTGGACAAGTGAAATATCTGAAGCAACCTCATACAGGTCCTTCAAGCAATCTTAATACTAAAGAAGAAGATTTCAACACTCTAAAATATATGAAACTTCATCCAATTTCTGCATTTTTATCACAGCTCCCTCGTTCTCATCTCGTTTTAAATTTCCTTTTTCTCCGACTAACCAAGGATCGGAATTTTTCAAAATCTACAGATTACAATGAGCACGCCAAGCGTTTATGGCTAAAGAGTGAGATCATTGAACCTACCTTACATAATATCCTACTGGAACAAATCTTAGACCTTGTAGTAAAAAAGAAAAAAAGAATCTATATATCTGGTTTAAACTAAGCTTGAAAATGAAGACGTGAACGCATAAGGAATGTTGGCGAGAGGACCTCTCTGGCATGCGAGCTCATGGATGTCCTTCACGATGTCAAAAACTGCATCAGGTTGTGCAAGTTTAAGCGCATTCTCTGATATAGTTTTGCGCTCATCCTCTTTGGTGCTAAACCACTCTGCAACAATTCGTGCTGTTTCCTTGGGGCTTCGTGTGAAAACACCAGCTCCATTGTCCACAACGTATGGAACATTTCCCTTTTCCTGCAAATACATAACGGAAATGTAAATCAGTAAACACGGTCATAACAGCAGCTATACTACGATAGCTAGCAGTCGAATAATCAATGTTTTGGTTTCACTAACTTGTCCGGGAATGTAGTCGTTGAGAATAATTGGCAGACCTCTGATTAGTGCTTCTGCAATTGTACCTGGTCCAGCCTACAGGTGAAAATAACTGAATATTTAGTCCCACATTGTGAACAATGCACAAAAAAGAATACACGGCAACAAAAGCGAAGCCAGAAGTTGAAGCTTATGGGTTCGGAGTTCTAGTCCCTTCCAAGTTATTGGGTTCTAAATTAATATTTGTACATATTCAATGGATATTTAGTACAAATACAGAGTTTGGACCAAGACTACCAAGTTCAGCTGAACCCGTAATAACTGAAGTGCTAACTCTGCCCCTTCATAGTAATGCTAAAATAGGAGTGCATCGACATACCTTTGTGATAATGCAGTCGCAAGCGCCCATCCACTTCTCCATCTGTTTCTGAAATCCTTTAATCTAGATAGCAAGAAGAAAAAATATTCAAAATATTTTTCGATTGTCAAGTAAAGCTGAGGTGTTAACGTAGTTTTGTAAGGCGCATTCATACTCCAAGAATCTAATTCTGCTTTACCTTGACTGGGATGTTCCATTCGAGTGATTGTAATGTGGAAGCTAGCTCTTCATTGCGTCCACATATGACAACCATTTGACCAATAGGTTTCTCCATTTCTTTATCGAAAAGAGCTTCTCCGAGAGCCTTTGCAGTTTTTTTCACTGGTCCCATCCCTTCACCCCCGCCCATCAGCAACACTGCCGGCAATGTGGGATCCATCTCTAGCTCTACTCTGAGGTCATCCTATAGCAAGTATTGAGAAAACAATAAGAAAAAGTAAAAATGAAACATGGATTCAAAGGACTGTAATTCTGTTGTAAATGAATGAAACATTCACCTTGGTAAATATTGCTCTACAAAAAGAGGGACGAATAGGCAACCCGAAAACGCGTGTTTGAGATTCTTCCAATCCATCAAATAAAGCCCTCTTTGCTACCTCCTCAGCGGGGCAGTACAATCGATTGACCCCAGGATGAAACCTATCATTCGAAAGAAGATACCAGTTAAACTACATATTTGACATGAAAGCTAAATTGTCTGGACTCTCCAAAAATGTCACTGCACCCATGTTGGATCCTCCAAAAATGCACTACTTTTGGATGATCTAACATGCACCTAGCGGAATATTTGAAGAGTCCAAGCAACATAGCAAGAAAGTGTTAGATATATTCAAACTCCAAATTAAGTTACTCGATAATTTACCATGTACGGTGGCAAGTACTGAGGTCTGTAATAACTGTGACAAATATTACTTTCTTTTGTAGACCTTGCCATTTTAGAACCCACAAAGGAATGTGCTGCATAAGAGGATGAACACTAATGATTATGTCTGGCTTGTACTCCATCAGGCCAGCCTCCACCTCCCTTCATTTTCACAAATCAATAATTAGATATGAAACTCAAGCAACCAGGTCAGAAATTTTTCTTAACAAACAAGACAAGTCGGTATTGACAAAATGATAAGATATGAAGCATTAAAGAAATGATCAAAAACTGTCAAATGCATTCAAAATACAGTACTATAATTGAAAATGATGAATTTATGATGTGCTAACCTAGCTGGCGTATCAAAGGAAAATCATTTAGAAAATAACAGAAGTCATAGGTTATCACGCTAAAGAATACTCCCTCCATTTCAATTTGTTTGTATTACTTTATTTTTTAGTATGTTTCAGAAAGAATGTCTGGCACCTCTTTAGTTCTAATTTTTCATGTGGCATGTTTAAGACCACAAAATTAAAGAACACTTGAGTACATTCTACATATCTTTCGTTTGAAACAACAAGATTCAAAAGTTTTCATTACTTTCTTAAACATCGCGCCTAGTCAAAACTAGACAAACAAATTTAAAGTGGAAGTATCAAACATCCACAATTTTTGAAAACAAAGAAGGAACTATACTTGGCGTAAAAGGCGGCAATGGCAGCAAGATAGGCAGAGTGTATCCAACGAGGGGATGTGCCGTGAAATGCAACCCTCCAAAGCTGAACATGTTTAACCATGAACTTGTATTGTTGTTCCATGGTGTTCAATGGCCATCCAGTGTATTCCTTCCAAACATCTTTTACAAAAACCTACAACAATTGAACACATCTGACATTACCAAATCGAAATATGAATTTGCAGTATGTCCAATAAATATTTCATTAGGAATGTCATACCATGGGAGGGAAAAACTGTAGTAACTAAATTGTTAAACTTAACAAGTAAAAATTTATGCCGGAGAAGTATTTAACCAGATGGGATCTCCATAAACATGAAAATTATGTAGATCAACGCAAAAAAAAAACACAACTTGTAGGTAGAGATGACAACACGAATCAATATTAAATCTCTAAGCAAGGGGATTTGGGGATTCACAATTTCAAACAAAAAAATCCAATAAAAAGAGAAATTCAGATCATATAGCTAGAAAACCAAAAGGATAAAACTTATATTATACATTATAATATCCTTAACTTTCAAGACTAGCCAAAACTTCAAAGAAAAAAACTTGGTTTTTATCATTGGAAAACGGAAACTCAATACCTCAATATGAAAAATGACTCAATATTGCACATAGGACAACACGAATCCACATGGAATTTCTAAGCAAGGGGATTAATGGGATTCACAATTCCAAACTAAAAAAATGCAACAAAAAGAGCAATTCAGATCAAATAGCTAGAAAACCAGAAAGATAATAACTTTACGATGTAATATCCTAAATCTTCAAGAACTAATCAAAACTTCAAAAGAAAAAAACTTGGCCTTTATCATTGGAAATTCGATACCTCAATATGACAAATGGCTCAACAACACATAGGACAACACAAATCAACATGGAAAAGGGGATTAATGGGATTCACAATTCCAGACCTAAGAAATGTAACAGAAAGTGTAATTCAGATCAAACAGCCAGGAAACCAGAAAACCAGAAATATAATAACTTTATATTGTACTTTACATTATAATATCCTTAGCTTTCAAGAACTAATCAAAACTTCAAAGAAAAAAACTTTGCCTTTATCATTGGAAATTCAAGACCTCAATATGACAAATGATACAATAATGCACATAGAACAACACGAATCGACATAGAATTTCAAAGCAAAGGGATTCACAATTCCAAACAAACACATTATTTCATATCAAATAGCTAGAAAACCAGAAAGATTGAAACTTTACATTATACTCATCCCCAAATTCCAAATGAAAAGCATCGCGAATTGCCTCAGCTGAAGCCCTATGTCCACCCCCTGTATCACTCATCAAAATAAGCACATTTTTTGTCCTTTCAGCACCAAGCTGCACCATTTCCATTGTATTATTTTCATCTTGAAATTCAATATTACATCTCTTTGTAGTGTTGTTATTCCCTACAAACCCATAAACCCCAACTCTCTCTAACACCGTGCTTATCGGATTCCTCACCGGAATCACCTCAGTCACCATTTCCCCTCAATTCTTGAAATCTCTATATTTGGTATAAAGTTCAAATTTTTTTCCACTTTTTAGCAAATGTATATCAAAATCAAACACCCAACCACATAAAGATTTCAAATTTCCAAGAAAAGAATGAATCCACCACCCCTTTGACCTGCCGGAAAATGGGGTTCTTTTTTCCGGCAAGATCAAAGAGTTGGGGATTAAAAAAAGAGGAAAATGGCTATAAAAACACAAAGGGTTTACGAAATTCAAGAAACTGAAAAAATGGGACACCCTTTAATGGATTTTGAGAGAGTTGAAAGTATGGAGAAATGGGGTTAGTTTTTTTCTTCTTTCTGTTAATAGGAGATGATGAAAGGACAGAGCAGAGAGATATGTGGAGAATGGTTCTATTTTTAGATGTACTATATTTGGTGGCAGTGTCTTGAGTAATTTATTGACATACCATATAAACATGTTCAAATTTGGCTTTTGAGTATACACGTCTAGATATTTTATTTTATTTTATTTTTATCGAATTAGTTGGATATTTCGAATTACAAAATATCATCTCCACCTTCAATATTTTTGTGTTATATCAGCATTGAATATCCACGAGACACAATGGAAATGAGTTGGAGTATTTTGTTGTCAGTTGAGATCAAGTGAAGGTGTCTAAATACACACTCTTAAAGTTAAAGTGATTACTTGTTAATTGAAATTAAGTTTGAATGTAAATTTATGTATTACGCTTTTTTTTTAGCAGATTCAAATATAATTTGTTAAAAACAAATCATGTAAAAACAATACCCCTTTATGTTTTAATAATTGTAATGTTTGAAATTGCTTACTCATACCTCAACTAATTTAATGCAGTATATGTTATTTCTCACTAGACATAATTTGAAATCTATTGTTTTTATTTATTTAATAATATATATTTATACTATTCGAGCCAAAAATACTAAATATTAGATTTATTCTTAAATACAAATTTTATATATTTTTATCAAGTTAAATTATATCACACAAATTAAAATGGTGGAAGTTTGTTTTTGAAGTGGTTTGTAAAATAATATATTGTGGTGGTCCTTCCACTTGTCTTTTACAGATGTGTGCATACATTTTTCAATGAGAATTAAAATATTCTTATATTATAATATATAGTTTTCATGGGCCATTGCCAAGTTTATTGAGTTGTATTTAGTCCTTAAAAAAGGAAGGTACCTTTTTGAAATTTTAAATTTAAAACTTTAAGGAGTGCCTTATTTAGAAAGAAGTTAAAATATTAGAAAAGGAAAGTCACAAATAAGGTACACATGGTGTTGTCTGTTGCCATTTTCAATTTTTTTTTCAATATTTTACGTTATTTCATGATTATTGTCCTAAAACTATATCCTAAAAGTAATTTATTACATCTTGGAGGTAGAATAAAATAATATCAAATTAGAAAGAATATGGTGAGATATCCAAAAATAAGGTTGCAATTATATTTATATTCCGTTTGATTGAAGGTAAAAATTCAAAATTAAGGTTACGATTAAATATATATACGACGTTTAACTGAAGGTAAAAATTTACACCTCCAACAAAACAAAATATAATTTGAATCTTTAACTTAATCTTGATATATCTCACCTTATCTCACGTATCAAACGACCATTGAGTTTAAGATGGTATAATCCATCAAAATTGCATCAATTTGTCATAGACTAATGTCTTATATAAATTCTATTAGAGTTAGACTAATGCATTACAAATATTTTCAAAGAAAACACTGAAAAGTTTATACAGAAAGCTAACTGATTGTTGATGCATCTTGTAAGCTACATTTCCCTCTCAATACATCTGGTATCCAAACGATTAAACGCGCACCCACTGCCTTTGACTCGAACTATATATAAACATAACATATAGTTAGTTACATTGTATCGAGATTTTAAGACATATGTATATATGTCTACTCGGAGCCTTTCAAATCCTGAATCTGCACCTGAGGTTATCTACATTCAGGTACAAAAGCAAACCTACTCAATTGATGCCACGACAGATCGGGCAGGGAGGATCTGTTACATTGTCATGATGTGTTCTTTCCTCCAAACAATCAGCATGGTAAAGATGACCACAAACTAAAACTGCCACAACAGAGGGCTCACAGGAAGGTATGTTGCTATCGAGCATATAGCGTTTCTTTCTCAAAGGCTTCTGACATAATCCGCAAAAGAGCTTGGTGACATTGGAAGATGTTGCATTCGTTGCCAGTAAACTGGGCGCAACGCCAACACTTTCTGGTTTGTGAAGTTCACTCTGTTTACTCTCTGAAAAGAAATGCAAAGGAAGTCAAGTGAGAAGCAGAAAATAATATCAAAGATGTTAATAGTGCAGTGTTATCAAAAACATAAAGCGAAATCCGTTGGGGCATTAAGTGCAAAGCGAAAATAAAGCACGAGCTTTAATGAAAAAAGGCACAAAGGGAGAAAAAAAATACAAATATATATGTTTAGTCCAAGACTAATAATGAAAGGCATGAATGACAATGATATGAACAAAGAAATTGAAATTTTTTTTACGATAAAATGAAATTTCAGTTGTTTAATGTCGTCTCTTCGGAAGAGACTCATTGACAAAGAAAAGTATGACTTAGAAGATTGATGATGACACTAAAGCATACTTTAAGCAAGGCGAAACGCTCAACACATTTTGCGCCTCGCTTGAAGGCCTAAGCGCACCTTTGACAACACTATTCAAGTGTTACCTAAAGTTGATTGGCTTGATACACGAACGACCACTTGAACTTGTTCAAACATTTTTGTTTTTCATTTAGACAACTAATCTAGAGCCCCTATGTATTGAACACCTTATGTTGTCGAGAATGTGCCTATTGAACACATTTTGATGTACATGTTTCTATTTTGCAGAAAGATTGGATCTTTCGCAGGAGAAATTTTTTCCAACTCCTCTTCTTCTTCCTCCTCCCTGAAAAAATTGGTGTTGCCAGAAACGGAAGCTTTACAGAATTCTTCATTTCAACTCCTCTCTCTTTGTCTCTATTTTCATGTCATGAAACTTATTTTTTCTTTTGCTCATTGGTTTTATTTGTCACATCAAGAGCGAGTAACATTCATGCACCTTTGGTTTGTTTAGAATTGTAAGATAAGCGATCAATAGACACATTTTTTATAACATAAACCGTTCAATAAGTTGGGGCCCTAGATGGGTGTCTATGCCCGGTTCAGCCATTTAGGGGGTCATCTATGTATTCAACCAAGTAGATTCAAAAGAAAGATAAGAGAATCGCTCAAGACTAATACAAAAAGAACGAGAAATTTGATTTACAAGGCCACGTTTAATTTCTATTAGAATTATCTTACATTTGATGGCAAAACAAAGAACTTGGCCTCCAAAAGAGACCAGGATCCTTGTGCAACTACTAAGGAGTTGCACAGGATGTATGTGGAAAAAGATAAGGAAATAAGTTGCACCTGTGTCATGTCCAGAATCCGAGTTGCATTTAATAGCTGGCTTTGCAGACATCAGCTCATCATAAAGAGGAGTCGTCCCACCACGGGAAGTTGATGCCTCAGCATTATTAGCAGACCTCCGTCGAGTATAATGGAGCCCATAGTAGTGATGAGGATTCTTTGAACACATTGCCTGGTCAATATTTCGACGGTGAACAATAGATGGTTGTTGGCATTGTGTTGCCTTTGAAGAATCATCTATGATATCCATAATTGATGAGAAAGACTTTGTTGCATAGACATCAACTTGATGAGAGGTCTGCTCAATTAATACAAGAAAAGATCTAAGAAGGATAAGCAAGAACATCGTAATGCCAAATCATTTAGTGTTTGAACTCTTTCACCTCCCGATTATGTACATGAAGACTTTCTCCTTATAAATATTTAAGGTGGGAATGTCACCACATTTATAACTAAGTCAATTAATCCCAGCTCATCAATATCTATAGAGTACCGTATCAATCGAGCTGATATATATTCCTCCACCATTTTACATGATTCCCAAAAATGCAACAGATGCAGATGTGTAAGCAGAGTAACTTTGAAGATTGAACCACATAGCAAAACTAGCGGAAATATTTAACTACCACTGCATGACAGGAAAGAAAGCTAACCTGTCTCGACAATGCATCCATCCCAGGTGGAGGCAGCTGGTCTGCAGCCACATGAATAAAGCTTTGAATTACGAATTCAAGTATTCAACTGTCATTTCTCAAGGAAACTAACTATGCAAGCACAATGAATATCAACCACAAACATTTTTTCATTTTGCATATATGTGTTAGTGTTGATTGGTAGGACCTAGGAGGGAGACTCCATTGAACTCGAACAAATACTGAACGAACAAAAACCATCCTAGAATTTGTATTTCATGCTTCTAAGAATTTCTCACACGAAAAGCATTGCAATGATGGCGAGCTTCTTCTAGAAAGAATTCTATTTAAATAGAAGAAACTTAGCGCAGCTACACTTAAATATAAGGCAAAATAATCAGAACTTTTGGTGTGTGACAGTGATACCTTGGGTAGATAGAACAAGAAAATGGCATGGGATACTATACAGCAAAAGATCAAGTTTCCATCAGACCATCTTCCGCATAAGTAGAAAAGAAGGCGATGTAAATGGCATATGATACAAACCATAGTTGGGAACCAACGTAGTACGAAGCAGAAGGAAAAGAAGTCTTGAGAAAATTGTGAGTATGGAGAAGTGATCCCTTGACAGTTGAAGGTCATACGCAGATAACGGTAAGTTGGCCACGAGGTCATGTTCAACAATGCTTAGATATCTTATATCACTATACTAAAAGTTAGGAAATCCAATCAATAGTGAACATTTGCTGGTTGGATCTGAATCTCTCCTTGCTGGAAGGCTGTTTATGAGCGGAAGGGAAGTAGAGGTAGAGGGTCCGAAGGAGAGAGGAGATCTCTGCTGAAAGTGCTTTTGATAGGGAATAGGGAAAAGCCTATTTAGCTCCTTTCCAAAGGTAAGCGGTTAGGTTGACGATGTTAAACTTCGTATTCAATCGGGAACTCATAGGTTGTAATATTTATCTTACGGGGGGGGGGGGGGGGGGACGCATCTCGTTGAGCGTGGAGAAGCGTTGGGAACCCCAATTTATTATTTCTGTTTCTAAAAGAGTGAAGTGAATTTCTCATAACTAACCAACTACAAGAAATTTAAAAGACAAAAAAAACTCAGAAATTATTGATCTGAGATAATCGTCTAAAATCCAAAAACTCAAACACAGGAAATGGAACTTTCTACTAAAATTCCATTCACCAAACTCTAAAAGCCTAACAATTCATAGAAAGTTAAACCTTTTGTTGGATAAATGAATTGCTTGCCACGAAGAAGGAAAAAAAAAGCAATCTTTACTTATTAGCAAGCTGTCAACTAAGGGAAAACGTTCCAATACCTCTTTTCACTAACTAAGGTGTCCAGATTAGCTTGTGCGCACCTCAAATAATTCCACGAGAAACCTGGTACTCCCACCAACACAAGTATTGTGTAACTCTGTTCACCTAACCTTGGACAAATAGGAAGAAATCACCTAGTGTTTTTGCCTCCACTGGAATTTAACCACTAGAAAACGTCCAAATATTCCCAGCACATTAAAAAAATGAGACTCTACTATTAGTGATTGATAACTATTAAACAAGCAATTTTTCTATTAAGAAGCTACAATATCTTACTACCCACCTACCCCTCTAAACACCTTTTTGGAGCAGCATAGCATAATTTCAATTAAATTATAACACCAAGTACAATGCTAGTCGAACAGTCAAATCAACCACCGAGAATTCTTCCAAACAAGAAAAAGAATCAAGAAAATAAGACAACAGAGTGAGCATTTTCAGCGGAAATAAACACAAAAAGGAAGAAGCATTTATAAGCAAGAACCAATTTTTACCAGTACGAGAAAAAATCTTATTGAGATCAGTTCTTCTCTTTCTTTTCCCAATATATATAATACACACACAACAACCAATTATATGTGAAACATAAAAATCTAAGTGTCAACCTAAAGAAAACGTCCCAACAGTGCAAAGCCACGACTTTCACTAAGGGGATTCAAAATGTAAACAAATAAACACCAAACAAACCAAGGGGATTATTCATCATGTACTGTATATACACATAAAAATATAATTTTGATCTTATATATACCGTGCAATTTCTACCAAATCCCTAGCTCCGCCCCTGAGTCCTGATACTTCCAACACATTAAAAAATAAATGAGACTAGTTTTAGACATTAATAACTACTCCATTAACCTAGCAATTTCACAATTAAGAACCTATAATTTCCTCCTCCTCCTCCTCCCCCCCCCCAACAACCCACCAATCTAAACACACCTTTCTTTGGAGGGCGGAGCCAGGTAGGGTCAAGGGCTTCATTCGAACCCCTTCGACAACAAATTAAACTATTGATAAGACAACAAAGTAAATGTTGAACCTCTTTAGCTTCTTTACTTTTCATATTTTGTAACGTAGTGAAAATACTGGTTCCGTCACTTACTAGCATTGCATAATTCCAAGTAAATTACAACAATAGAAAAGAATCAAGAAAACAAAACAATTCAGCACAAAAAGCAAGAAGCATTTTAAGCAAGAACCAATTTTTACCAGTAAGAGAATGAGTTTTATTGAGATCAGCTCTTCTCTTTCTCTTCCCCATAAGTTTTAAACACACACCCACAAAGCCAATTTCATGTAAACTCAACAAGATTAAAACTTTATAGAAAATCAGTGGCTATTTAGCCACTAATTTTTGGGCTTTTGGGTAGTTAATTGCTTAATTTGGGAAAAATGGATTCTTTGGGGGTTGGGTTGGGGGGTCGGTGTAGGGGGTTAGAGCAAGGACACGATGGTACGACAAATATAAATTTCACAGAAAAGACATGGGAGGAGAAAGAGGAGAGACGTGTCATTACTTAGCTCTCGGTTTGGTCATAGATTTCGAAGTTGAATTTGAGGTTTTCTGAAATTTTATGTTATATTTAGGTGTGTATTTTTACCTTGAAAAATTTGATATTTTATGATGAAAAGTAAGGATGGCATAGTATGATATGGTACGGTATTTGAAAGTTTCGATTCGTAATTTTGGTATTTAATTTATAAAAAGTTATATCATGACCATATCAATTTAATTCAATTTGTTCGGTTTTGATATTTTACGGGATGGTAAATCGGTAACCACAATTTGTTCAACTTCGACTAATATATACTCGTATAATAGAGTATTATGACTTTGACAATTAAAAAAAAATCTCAATTGTATCATACTAACACATTACACATGTAGAAATATATATATGCAAAATAAAGTACAATCAAATTCTTTTGTTAATCGATTACAATTCAAATACATTTCAATCAAAATAGAGTAATCAAAATTTTAACTTCTAAACATTTAGTTTATACTAATATTTGTTAGTATTTTAATAATGTATATGTTATTTATGTAACTATATGCTTCGGTATGGTATTCAGCATTTCGTTATGTTATATCTAAATACCAAATATCATATCAAATACTAAAAAAATTAAAGTATATATCATACACCACATCAAATACCATAATATCAAAACCACGGTATTAATCTAAGTTGATTTTCATGAGCTTGAAAACATTTAAAAGATCAAATTTTGAAGTAGTATGTCTTGTTTTTGTTACCTATTGAACTACATTTTCTAGGACTAATTTTGTCTCGATAAATGTCAATGTAATTGTTAATACTCACATGGGAGACCATTAATTATGACTTCTTCTCGTTGCATACTTTGATCTACTACGGAGACATGTGAAAGATAAAATAAGTTTAAAATATGGCTTTTATAATGATTGAAACTTCACAAGTTTCATACTTTAATTATTAGATATCTCTGTTGTTTTGTGAAATATAATATTTGAAAATTAAACTCTCTAAAAAATAATGTGTAGTAATCTTGCACAAGACATTACATTTTCTAGACATATATGTTTGAAACTGAAAGTGATTTTTCTGAAATTTGAACTATCCATCTTAATATCGAACAATAGTTTTAAAAAAAATATGTTCAACAAAACTTTTCTTGATTTTTATTCAATTTCCACATTCAATTTTGCAATAATAGTGTTGAAAACCTCACTTTATTAAGGATGTGATTTTCTTAATGACACTATGCATTCAGGCTACAAAAACAATCACATACTTAGTACCTTTAAAAATTAAGTCCAAAAAGATAAGATATATGTAAATCTTATCATTACTTTTGTTGGTAGATCATCAACTCAAAAAATATGGAAAAATTATTTAACTACACATCATTTATTATCATATTTTCTTATTTTCCCTACCATTTCAAAAAATATCAAAAATCCCCTTTTTTGCTCTCATCATTCCTTTTTTCGGATACATTAATTTGAAATCTCCTAACCATGATTTTCCTTCCTTTTTTCACTCCACAAATCTCTCTACAGTTACTATCATTAATCCATTTTTGAATTTCAAATCTTTTCTCTTTCCAGTAAAAGATTTCAAATTATTCAAGAGATAGATTTCTTTCATCCACTTCAATTTTTGACTTTATTTTTTATTTTTATTTTTATTTTTTTCATCTTAAAAAATTACTGAATCTTTTACTCCCGATCTCTTTATGGAAGAGAGGTGGAAAAACCTTGTTAATGCACATAGTTCATCTTGGAGTGCATTTGAAATGGTTCCAGGAATTTCTAATGGCGATCTTCATACACTTCATTCCGTTGATTCGATCTTTTAGTTTTTTGGGCTTACTTTCAATGTATCTCGCTTATTTTGATTCTTAAATTAGTCATTTTTAGTGCTATCACTGCTACAATAGCTTTTGTTTTATACAATGTATCATGTTCATATTTAAGGTATTGATACATAACTCTAATGTTGTTGAATCTTCGATTAGTGTTTATCATGTTCAATATAAATGTACTTGATACATAAAAATTTTGTTATGTATCACACACCAAAAAATATGTTATTTGGAACAATTACATGTATAATGTTTTTTTTTAAAATATAGTATTTCTCAAACAAAATAAGATACATAGATAATAATATATCATGTACTAATTTTTTAGGCATGATATGTAAATTCAAATTCATACTAAATGTATCTGATACATAACAATTACCAAACAATAATGTATCAATCTCAATAAATACACTTGATACATAAACCTTAATGTTTTGTAGCTAAAGCATTGTGTATCAAATTAATTGATAGGTGCATGATACATAATATATATCAAATTCAATAGTTTTCAAACTTTATTACATATATCATTATATGTATCAACTGATCACTACTGTTTTTGTGTCCCACACAAAAAAATGTTATTTAGAATAATTATATGTATAATGTTTCTTTTTATAAAATACAATATTTCTCATACAAAATAAGATACATAAATAGTAATATATCATGCACTAATTTTTTAGACATGATACGTCAATTTGAATTTATACTAAATATATCTGATACATAACAATAACCACACATACATGTATCCATCAAAGCTACGTATCTCTTCAATCTTGTTATACGTTGTTTCAATGCATAGAGGATACACATGAATAATTTCATAGCACCAACATGGACAACACAGGGCAATTACCTGAAGGAACAAAAAGAAGATATCATATCTTTTTAACCAACCCAGTTGTCCAACAAATAGGCAGAATCAAGTGATGTTGCCCCTCCCACTCCAAAATTCACACCTTGCCTGAATTTTAAAATAATCTTCCAAATATGGTGGCACTAATATATGTGAAATTTAACATCTTTGCATAAGCGTTTAAGAGGAGCCTGGATACTATAACACAAGGGCACAATTGACAATGGACAAAAATTAGCTGATTGATCCATTGACCAATGTATTAATTATCCAAATTTGTAGATACGCATACCAATAAAATCAGCTATTGTTTTTGACTTTTTTCAATTTATTACGATTTGGGTAAGAATTGAAAGAAGAAAATTTGAATTGTTTGAAGCTAGACGGATTTTGAATAGAATTGAGAGAAGAAAATTTGAATTTTGAATTGAATCCGGGCGGATTTGGAAGAGAATTGAGAGAAGAAAATTTGAATTTTGATTTGATTGAATCTTTTCAGATTTGGGAGAGATTGAAATTAACTAGATTAGCGTGATTTGGGGAACTCACATCAATTTTATATTCTCTTTCCTTTAAAAGTCTAACTGATTTTGTTTTAATGAATCAGATTTAATGTATCCGTCTTCTTTGCTATGTATCTGAATAGCAATAATTTTGAGGGATTTTTGTAAATTGAAAAAGAGTAGGGATAGAATGTAATTTAGGTCCTTACACTATGTGATTTATGTAAGTTATAAAAAAATATGTATATAGACTACGAAGTGAAACTACTCTAGTATTTTCTAGAAGACGGGTCAAAAGGATAGGCCCATTAGCCAAAGAAGTGGGCTTGTTCTTGCATATCCATGACCCAATATATAAAGAAAAATGGAAAAATTACAGAAATCTCACATTTTAGTTTACTTATTATCATTATTCCTTATAAATTTTATAAATTTCCAAAATCCCTCATTTTCGCGCATCAGATTAGTGTATCTCACGCATCAGATTAATGTATCAACGCTTATATTATTGTATCTCGCGCATCAGATTAGTGTATCATGTATAAAATGTACATTAGATTAGTGTATCATGTATAAAATGTAATGTATCTTACTTAACGATTAATGTATCTCGCGCATCAAATTAATGTATCAGCGCTTATATTATTATATCCGTTTGAGGGATTTCTGTAATTATAAACTTTTAAGGGATATATTGTAATTTTGCCTTCAAAGTATGTGATTTCTGTAATTTGTCCATTTCACATAAACAATCAAATTTGGTAAACAGAAATGGTTGGGTGTGGGTATATGGGCAAAGCTTATTATTAAACCTTCAAATATGGTAAACACATATAATACTTACCATGAGTTCAATCGAGAAAATATGTAATATATTGATTGTTGAATGATGAGTGACCTGTTTTTGGGAGATCACTTGTTCAGCCTACTCGATCAGTCGTGTGGGTCTCATATTATTAAAGAAATTTAGAATTATACATACCTTAAATACAAGTCAAACACGTGGCTTTATTGAATCTTTACATATTTCACTTCCATGTCTTTCTCTTTTCCTTTGTTATTTTTGCGTGCAAAAAAATTTGACCCGGAAATTTTCTTCTAAAATCATTTAAGATATGTATATTTTTGTAGTTGAAACACTAAAAAGTATGTATTTTTTAGGGATAATTATATTTTTTTATATATATAAATCATCATTGATTCCTTCGTGAATTTTGTCATAGACAGGATGTTGGCGTTATTTAATACATGACCTTGGCTTCAATACTATTTGTTAGGATCAAACGTAGGTTTACTATTTTACCAAAAATTATAGTTGATAGCACGAATGTAACGTTATCTTTTAACTAATTAAGTCCACCAAGCAAGTATTACGTTTGATCATGACTCCGACCCAAATCACCCACCTACACCCCTTCGTAGGAAATCAGCTTCTATTAAAACGTTGAAGATAATATTTATTCTTATATGTTCATAAATATTTGAATGTGTTGAATAAGAAAAAAAAAAACTATAAAGATTGAAGAATATGTTGATTCCTAAAAATATTGTGTTTCTTTGCTAAAAGTACAGAGGATGCTAAGGAGATAAATGAAAATGTTTAGGTTTCTTTATATCCTTTTCTATACTTTGAGGTGCAAACTGTTAAAAGGAAAAAAAGAGTTGAGATAAAGAACATAGACCTTCGTGTAATGGAATCGAA